TGTTTGAGAAAAGCAACTCTGAAAAGTGATAATGGAAGATTGTATTTGCAGCAGTAAAAGATACCAGCTGCTTGGGGAATACAATACACTGGGTTGTCTCTCTTTACAGCTCTCCAGCACGCTGGGAAGCACATGGAAGACTGCATTGTGGCCTCCTACACAGCATTGCTTCTAGGCTGCCTCTGCCAAGAGAGTCCAGTAAGGGAATAAGTCAATAACTTGCTCTTAAGTCCAGTACAATTTTCAGTCAACTAATAATTTGAGTATTGAAATGGGTTTATTAAATTATGGTTCAACGTGTGCAAGTACATTGGTGAAGCTACATTGAGATAGATTTTATTTTTTCTATAGCAAGGTGCCAGAGGCATTCCATCCAAAACAAATTTTCTGATCCATCAGTATGTTTATCAAAAACAGTTGGAATTGATTATTTAGCCTCTTGTGCCTCTCTCCCCTTTTCTGCTAGTCCCAGCCAACGAATGAAAAAGGAAAGGCAAAGGCAAACTGGCTCGCCTGTTCTATAATTATAAAAGCTTGCTTTATCTTTTCAGTAGTTTCAATAAGCAAGTTAACATCAGACTGGTTTATTCTTTTCTGTCAGTCTGCTTGATTTTTTTTCATCCCTTGAAATTGCATGAAATTGTGTTTGTCCATATTAACTGAAGATGATTTGCTTCAGACTGGAAATACATAGTAGAAAGATGAAGTAAAAAATATGGAACTCTAATGGCTGAGAACTTCATAAACTCTCTGGTCAAATATAAGCTTAAATGAAAATGAGGTTCAAAGCTACCTTCAGGCTTGTCTAAATTCATGATGATGGCAGAAATGGTCTTTAACATGCTGTTCTGTACCTTTTGTCTAATAAATTTCCATAGAAGCTTAGTGTTTGGGGTGGTACTGGCAATAAGTTCAGTTGTTCTCAACCATTAAAATTATAAAGGGAGATTGTCTCCAAGTCAGGAGAGTCATCTGGTGGGGTTGTCAGTTCTTGATAGTCTTATAGCTCCTGGAGGGGTCTGGTGGTGGTAATGATCTCTAATGAAGAAACAAATAAGCAACAACAAAAAGATTTTTAGCAATTATTGTTTCCTAGAAACATAGACACCATAAACATACGAGTTGCTTCAGAGACACCTGAATCATAGAGGTGACAGCAAAAGCCATCTTAGTAATGCCATGAATGTGCTTGTCGTACAGCATCTCACCTGCAGCGTAGCGTAGTTCTGTGTCAGAAAAATACTTCCCAAATTAAAATAGCTTGTTTTATTTCTTAGATCAATGTGACTACTGTGAGGGAGTACTTACCTGAAGGAGACTTCTCGATAATGACTGAAATGCTCAAAAAATTTCTCAGTTTTATGAATCTTACTGTAAGTAATATATATTTTAATTTAATGCATATAGATATTTTTGTAATTGTGTTTTCTGGTAATGGTCCATACATTTTTAGAAGCTTTTAACATTGTTCAGTTGTGTCTTCAGAAGAGCACAGGATGATTTTCTGTGCTTAAATACTGAAGACCCATTTGTCTGTCATTATTTTGGTAGTAAGTGGATCGAAGCTACTTTCATCCCATTTGATTGTGACTGGTCAGGAAAATATTTTTGAATCCTCTGCCTGAACCTAATTGCTTTTAGTGCTACGTAATTGTAAATACTAAAATTCTGAAGTGAGCACAGCTCGAGTATGTTGAAGAGGTCTCACAAATGCTTGTTTGTTACTTGTGTTTTCTGTTCCATTTTGCAGTGTGCTGTTGGAACAACAGGCCAGAAATCTATCTCTAGGGTGATTGAATACTTGGAACACTGCTAGATACTTAACTTCCGCTGCAGGCACTCTAATGCTGGAGCTACCCTTAGACAAAAGAAGTCGTCATGAAAGAAGTCCTTGAAGGATATACCAAGAGCATTCATCTGTGTCATTCGTGTTCGGATTTTTAAGGCTACCTGGTCTCTTAACCATGCATTCAGCATTTTCTAAAAGACAGTTACTACATCAATCTGCAACTATCAAAAATGAGGGGAAAAAGGTTCTGAGGAAAATAAATAAAGAAACCATGCTGTTTATGATGCAGTGCAGTATTTAAATATTTTTTGGCAGGGTTTACCCTCCCTATCTTTTTTTTTCTTGCTTTGTTCGTGACAAGTTTCAAGGGGAAAAACTTGCTGCTGATAGTGCAACTGCTGTTTACTGTTGAGCCACTGTTTATGCCAGCCAGGTGCAAAGGCAGCTTTAGCTACTGAGGTATCAAACAAATGTTCTAATAAAGAAGTTCTGGACAGCAGCACCGCTCCTATTTGAGTTTAATTTGCTCTTGCTTTTTTATTACTAGATTATTCCAAAATCATAAAATATAAATTTTTAAATACTTTTGTGATTTTAACTACTGTCTATATTTAAAATTTGTTGGAATCCAAAGAGGCGAGGATTGGATAGTTTATTTTTTATACTGTTTTGATTGAAATTAGGTTGTTGAACTATTTCTCAGTTCTAAAACTGTCATGGCCCATGTACTGTACACTGACAGACCATAACACTTTGTAGTTCCAAGAAGCATGCAAACCCATCAACACATAAAGCCATTTGAGGGTATGTTATCCACAAAAGAAATAGTAACTGTAAAAAGTTGTGCCCTGTTTAAAAAAAGAAAGGAAAAAAAAAAAAGCTATTCAATCCCAGGGTAGTTTACACTTCTAGTAAGCAAAAACTTTGAAATGCTGTTTTAATTTGTTTCAAGGAAGCACTCAAAATGTATTTTATAACGCTCAATACAAAGAATTTGGATGCTTTAGGGGGAAGAATTTTAAAGAAGCTAAAACACCAATGGGGATTAATGTTTCCAGCTGACATAATCTTTCTATTTCATCCTGCTGTAGTATGACAGAGTCTAAATGCATACAACACAAAGCCTTAAATTGCTGATATAGCTAAGATTTTGTTCAGTCTGAGGTCTAGTTCACAGCAAAGCATTGTGTTTGAAGACTTAAGTGGAACAAAGAATCCCAGAAAATACATTAATTTTTTTAAACAATTTTTTTCTTGCACTCATTATTCAGACCAACAGAATTGGTAATTATTTTTATTAAGGTGGTCTTGAATATTTGCAGACTGTTCTGAGATCTGCTTCATCAACATTTTAAATACCTGTATAGGTAGTTACATCATGTGATTCCATTGAATTTGTAAAACTTGAAGCCATAAAAATATTAGTTCTATGTATAATGAGGGGGAAATAACAGGAAATCTAACCTGCTTTTAGATCTTGTGTTATCTCCATGTATAAAGTTAAGAACTCGTGCTTTTGTATCAGTGCCAGCTGTAAATTTTTTACATACAGTGGCTGCCTTCTATGTCTTCCTATTTTTGATAATGCAGATTGTTGGGAATTCTGTAAGGAAGTAACTGATTAGCGGCAAAAATCCTATGTTGGTCATACTTTTTTGCGTTTTCTCTCATCACCTTCTAAAATTTAGCGTATCAGTGTAACTTAGAAAAGTTTTTGAGGTTTTATTCCCCTTTGTTTAAAAAAACCAAACCATCAGTATTGAGAGAGAGAGAGAGAGAGAGAGAGAGAAACTGGATGTAAATGATCTACATCAGGAGGAAATTATTGAATATTTTGCCCATCTAGTTTTCTGATTTTAGAGATCTTCACTTATAATGGGATTTCAAATTGATTGTGTAGTTCTCTATGGAGAGATGGCAAGAGAGTATAAAATACAGATGTGATGATGGGGGAAAGCAGGGACAACTACGTTTCTTTGTTACACTGGTAATTGTTTGGGAATTGATTTACCTCAGTGTTTAACAGTTTTTTTTAAATGTAACTAATTGTCAAGCACTGACAAATGCAGATTTTGGTTTTTTTTGAGGGTGGGGGGAGAAATCACCCTGTGAACTGCAGTGCATTTTTGTGTGTTAGACCCTCAAATAACTCTGCATTAAAGGGTACTTGAGGCCAACTTGCAAATTAAAGTTTTAAAGTAACTTTTTTTCCATTGTAAATATTTGTGTAAATACTCTCAATTGGAAATTAGAACAGTAGAGTACTTTTCTGAATCCAATCCTATTTTTATTTTATACAGTATTTCTCAGCTGTGATCTTTGGAGCAAAAGCCAACGGCAGGAAAAATAGTTTGTACCAGTTTCATGAAGTATGTCTTTGGGTTTTTGTAAATAATTTTAACTCAAATAAAATTGCTACTTTCAATACATATCTTGTCTTTTAACATGTAATAAAACACTCCTCTGAGTGATTGCAGAAAGAAGGCAGTGTCAGGTAAATTATTAGACGGGAAAAAAAGAAAAAAGGAGGAAAAAAGAAAATAACAGAGGAGCATCCTGAAGGTAGTGCTGTGTTTTCAGTGGTGTGCTGGGACAACAGGATGCGGTGCCCGGTGCTGGGGCTGTGGGCAGTCGCACCCCCGAAGGCCTGGCACTTTCTGGAGATGATGGACTCAATCTCTTGATGCGTTTTTGAGCTTTCCACACAAGTTGCTATTGATTGTTCAGCTGAAGGGGCAGGTAACAACTGGAAAGAGCTGTTGTTAGAGTAACAAAAATAAGGTAAAGCATAGGGGAAATGGGGCAGTTTTGTTACACTGATGTTTTTGACGTGGTGGGAATGTTAATAGCTTCTTTCCTCAGTGAGAAATGAGACAATTACCATAAGCATTGCTCTGTTTCTCTATTAATATGAATGATACTTTAATTTCAGGATAGACTTTTTTCCCATGGATTTTTTGTTAATTGATACAAGTAGATACAGGTACAATCCGCAGTAATTCCTGAGCCGTAAAGCGAGTTGAATGTGGTGTGTCATCTCTATTGCCACTTTAACAAGCATCAGCAAAATGTAACTGTATTTCTGTGCTGTAAAGGGATCTTACTGGAGTTTGAAATACGGAGCAGTATGTTATTAGTATGTGACACTGTAGGAGGCAAATACAGCTTTGTGTAAGGAAACGTTTTAAAAAAGAAATCATAAGAACCAGTATTTCCTTTTGGTTATTTTATTGGTAGATACGTACTGTAAGCATTATGTGTGGATGCTCTGAGATGACATCAGCATTTTCAGATAAACAGGACAACTGTGAAGCTTCTGTAGAAGATTTGGGAGTCATAGCCTTTCGCATAAATTATTTCACTACCGGACTGTTTTGATATGCATGATTTGCATAACAAATTGAGCTGGCATGATCTGTACAGCACTGACGTATCAGAAGTTTAATGTAAAAGCGGGTGGTGGAGCTGGAGATGGTTTCTGAAGCTGGGCGATGGTGTTGTGCTGGCAGCAGATGGAGTCTCTCTGGGCAGAAGACTGGACGGTGATCACAAAGGTATAAAAGCTTCCTCCTTCCCCCCCTGAGCCCAGCCCTGTGCCAGGCCTGCAGCTGGAATACTGCGATTCCGCTCGGGAGCTCAATTGTCATCACCTGGACGCTTCTGGGTGGAGAAGAAGATGGTGGGAATTCTCTTACCATTTTTAGGCTGTTACATTTTTTTAACTTTCTGTAACAGACTATTCTAATGGGAGTTCTTGCTTTTAACCGTGTTTTCAGGCTCAAGTACCTCACTGAATTGATGAAGATGTCTTTGGTGTCAGATGCACTAGCAAGTATTCTGTCTTCCCTCATTTTTACTTTCTGGGCATGACTATTTCCTCTGTTGAGTAAGCAGAAGTCCAGGCACACTTGGTTGGCTGCTGCTAGATACAGGCAAGCCCACGTGGCTTTTTCAGTAAAGTTCTTTCTCTTTTTTTTTAATTAATGTGGTACTTTCCTTGTTTAAATGGCAAGGAAACCAAAACTGTGTATTTGAGTTCAAAAGATAAGAAGGACTTAAGTAGCTGCCACTCTTCTGCATCAAGCCCTTCCTTATAGGATGTCTCATTAATTGTGTTTTTGAAGATAATAAGGTTGGAATTTGCCCTGAGTCCTGCTAGCCAAGTGTTTTCAAAACCAGGCCAATGTAATACTTGATGCTGCTGCTTCTCCTCCTCTGTGTAATATGTTAATTTGTCTTTGGGTAAAGGATGCTACTGGAACAGAAGCCATTCATATTCTTCTTTTTAACCTGCCCTTAAGGTTCCCTTTCTAAGGGGCTGTAACTTACTACGACATTTGCAACATCAGTAGGTGCAGATAGTCTTACTGCAAATAAAAGTGAAACCTTTCTAAATAATGCAACTGCTTGAAGTCCTCATCCATGGGTAGATTGATTTACTAATTCCACTTTATTCTAGCTGTGAAAACTGAACTTAATTTGCAGCTATAGGTTGAGCCTGGGGTTGCCACGCTTGGTGTGGCACGTCTGTGTGTGCCAGCAGGCACTCGCTGGGGACGCAGGGGGTGTTGTAAGGAGCCCTGGGAAAAGCAGTCCTCTTTGGGAGGAAAGTGAATATTCACTGGCCGAACATCTCATCGGCTTGGAGGAATAAATGCCAAAGAATTTCTTGATGTGTGGAGAGCTAGGCTTCTAAATAATAAAAAGAGTTCTTCAGGCAGTAATACCTATTGCCTTCTATGCCATTAAAACCATTCTGTTGAGAGAACTAAATCAATTTATATGTTCGTTCCAAAAAGACAGAAATATTTGGCTGTCGTAGTGTCACACAGTGTTAAATGAGGTCTATACAAAGATGAAATCCACTGCAAAGGTAGTTTTATTTAACACTTGTGCTTAGCATTCAGAAGTTTGCAGGGGAACTGGTTTGTGCTGTTTGATTAACATACATAATGTCACTTCAGCTTTTTAAATCTTCTGAAAATCACTAAGAATTTGCTTTGGGTTTTGAACTTTGCTAGCTGGGACCAAATGAAGTGACTCGAACCACAGCTGTCTATGCAATCCTACCCTTCTTTGTGAGGATTTTTACTGGACAAAGTTTTCGAAATACTGAATTCAAATCCTGAAGTTGTTAACCTGCCTGTCCTGCATTATGCTGATGTCCTTTAAAGCTGAGCTCAGTCTATATACCTTTTTCTGGGAGAAACCCTCAGCTGGCGCTCAGTACATGCCTAGTTCTTAGAGGAGCAAAAGTCCTCCTAAGTCAATGTGAGGATAAGGTGAGCCCTAGAGGAGGGTGGCTTGCAGAGGCCCATGCACTGGGCATTTGAAATCCACTGAGCAGGGGTGTGACACCGAATACATCTGAAGAAGTTGGCATGTTTGTAGGGGTTCTGCCGAGGTCACCAGAAGTGGCTGTCTCAGGCTCTGGCCCAGGAGATCAAGCTGTTCACAAAGGAAAAGGATAAGATGAAGTGGGGCTGCTCAGGCTATTTCTGATGAACACCAGGTTTTGCTGATACTGGACCCACACTGTGTGTTTCCTGAGCCCAGACTGAAAACGCACCTGGTTGCTGAGCTGTTGCTAGCATCATTCCAGTGAGAGGAGCACATGGCACCATTGGAAGGTACTTTCTCTCCTGGGTCTAGCAAAAAAAAAATAATCATTTTACTAAGATGCTGGAAATGGTACAACCAAAAGATGAGAAGGAGTTCTATGAACCTGGATTTCACTAACTACATACATGAGATTCTACTTAGACTTTGTGAGTATGCAGTTTGACTTCCCAAACAGGAGACGTGGAGATCATCTCCCTTTCAAACAGGATTTTAGGCATATGTAAGACAAGGATATCCAGAAGAGCAGGATTGTTCTGCGCAGCCTTAGTCATTGTCTTAATTGTTGATATTTCCTCAATACTAGTAAATGTCAGATTATTTCAGGAACATGTGGAATTGAAGTCCTGGAGATTAAATAAGAATTCTACATATTCAGACTTGTGAAAGAAAATAATATTTGTTAGCAGAATAATTCTGAAACTTGTTATCTATCTCTGACCAATGCAATGGTAGGGACAGAGAATAATCTTAGTTAACAAGCTTTCCCTGGAGATGAAATCAGAGACACAGAGATCTGACAGGGTGAAGAAAGCCCATTGTGCAAGTTATGACATGTCAGAAACTGGATCAACATCTGGCCCTGGCGTGTGGTTGCACTTCCTGTTCTGAGGTGTCGAGTATTTCTTGTGAGCACAAGATCTCACTGAGGTCTTCGAGGGGCTCCAGATGGACTAGCAATTAGCCCCTGAGTACCTTTCACTTCCCGAATGAGATTCCAGTAGTACCACGTGCCATCTCGGATTAGGTTGCTATCATCTCCCAGCATATTGCAAATCATATAATCTACAAACAGTTGCCATGAAGACTGCATACACTACTGCACCACAAGCAACTCGGTTGCAACATTGAGACCTTATGAAGATGCAGCTAAAATCAGTATTCTGCCTTAAGTTTGGCAGCACACAGCATAACATCTGCAAGCATGATGGCGGGACTAGGCTGCAAGTGCTTTTCTTGGAAGCTGCTCTGCTCTCTCCATCGAATGCAGTAGTACACAGCTAAGAAACCTCTTTACATAATACTGTCTAACTCTTCCCCCATCTATTTTCAATAACACAACCGAAATAAAATTTTACAAAAGAAAAGTCCTCGTTGGGCAGAAGTACCACAGAGTTGTTCTCCAGCGTCAGTAAGAAACTTCTATTGTCTTCTGGTTCTAGGGGGAAAAAAAAATATCATCCTGATTTACTGAAAAGACACTTTCAAAATGGCTACTGTTTGACGGTGCTGAGGTTTGCTTCCACCAGTATAAGGATCAGCTGCTTCGTGGCACTTGGTTTATGGCCCAGCTTTCCAGTGCCAGTTCCACAGAAATACTAAGCAGACATGAAGTTATCAATCCTGAATTTCCACATCACAATAAGGACCAGCACCGACTGCTCTGCAGAGTACCAACAGGTGGGGTAGAAAATAGGAGGTGGTTTACTCAGAAGTGAACTCACCAGCCATGGCATCCAATTGTAAGAACAGATATTTATGAGAGTATAACTAGTTGTTTGGGATGCTGTGAAAAGTGTGAAATACATAATCTCTTGCTCTCAATATTTCAGAATGACCATTGTCATAAGCATCAAACTGCAAAGGAACAAAAGGAAGATTACAGGTCTTTTGCTCTTTTTACTCTCCTACGGATAGAACTGGGAGGCCCATGAACACTCACAACCCAGCTCTGAATACAGCTTGCCAAAACAAGCTCCTCAAGATTGCGAGCTCAAGGGCGACAAATATTCCTCTAGCAGCTTTCATGCTGACTCCTTTATCTCTGTAGAAATGCAGTAACTGTTGGAGGCATGTTGTGACTCTGCCTGCTCTGATCTTCCCAGCAGCTGGCAACAGCCCCAAGGAATTCTCTTGCCGAGTTTCTGCCGCTCTCTGAAGCACTTGAAGGGTTGCTGAAGTACGTCCGAAGTCCTGGCTCTGTGATGCTGTGCCTGGTGGTGGAGATCTGAGACCTGCCCTGCTACGAGTGTATGAGCAAAGGAGGTAAGTGTGTGTGCACTCGGCTCCAGAATGCCTCATTTCCACAAGGAGCTCTGGAAATGCACCTGGAGCCTTACGTGGTGGATGCAGCACTGGGAGAGCAGAGGAGTTCATTGCTACTCGGGAGCTGTCATGCTGGTTTATGCTGTTCTCATCACACTGGCTGGAAACTGCTCATGTTACTGCATAACCGGTACCGCACGCTGGTCAGACTGCAAAAGTGCTCAGAGGAGATCTGAACATACAAATTGCTGGTAATAACGTGGGATTTGAGATGGGAATATAAAGTTTTATAATAGGCAAGTGAAAATAAGGTGCTAAATTACATCCTGCGTAGGGTTAAATGGATTATGGGACGTGAGAAAAGCCACCACACCTTCTGGAGCCCACAGATGTCTTTATGAAAGAGATTGTGCATGAATGTAGGAGGTCTTTGGTTAGCTTCCTTGCAGCATTTCTGCTTAAACACAAGATGAACTAAAGAGACATCACTGCCAGTGTACTGGCAGACAGACAATGCCCTAGTCTCTTACTGTTTGTCACTATTTGCAAAGGATTTGAAGACAGAGAGCATATTGATTAAAAATAGACTTCTTGGAAACTTGGTGGAGGGAAAAGTGTCAAGTAGGTGCTGATGTCAAAGCATGAACTGTATAGGAATGACAAGAGCTGATTATCAATGACTATCAGGCCCAACTGGTGTGGATCAAGAGCCCTAAAGCAACTCAGCAAATGGCTGTGGTTTATAACATGTCACTTACAGTCGGAACTAGAGGAAAGACTGTGACCACAAGCTTTCAAGAGAGCGTCAGACTACTAACCACAGGCGAGCAAGTTTAACTTCATTCCAAAAGAAATTGCTAGAAGTTACACACTATAATAAAGCAGAGGCTGCTGCTGAGGTACTCGGCTAAATATTGGGGGGAACAAGCTGCTGTAATATTAAGAGAAACCATTAAGTAGGGATTGCTCATGAAACTCCTAAGGAGCTCCTAAGTAAACAGGCGGGTGTAACACAGTTCATATAAAGCCATGCCAAGGGTTGGTTAAAAGCAACTCAGGAGATCGTGTAGCCCAGACTTAAGCTCCAAGTGAGATGGGTGACCAAGCTACTTCAGGTCAGCCCTGCTTTTGTCCAGCCCAGTTTTGAAAACTTCTACAGATGGAGATTTCACAGCCTCTCTAAGTAATCCACACCAGCGCTCTACTACTCTCCTAGCTGCAAAAATACAAGGTGTGCTTGTCAAAAAATTTTTAAATATAAAAATATTCACTGAAGCTTCCTGGAGACCCTAAGCTATGCATAGAGAGAAAAGTCCTCTATTGGACTGAAAACCTTCGATCCGAGGTCTTAAAAGAGAAGAGCTGCGAGGAAATAACAACCCCATCCCTGCAGGAAAGGAGGATGCTGCTGAGTTGCCAAGGGATGTGAGCCGAGTGCTGCACTGTTGCAGGGGTTTGTAATTGACTTGACAAGGGGAGTGCAGTGGGAGGGAAGCGTGAGGGACTGCAGGTGTTTTGTTTGGCAGTCCGTGGGTATTTGGTTATTCATGATAGTCAAATACATTAACACAGAGTACACATTAACTGTTGCCACCAGAAAAAGGAAAAAAAAAAAAAAGTCTGACTAGTCAATTTCAGCAGAGGGCAGAAAAACAATTATAACATTAAGCTTTATTAGGAAACAAACAGAAGAAGAAAACAGGAACCATCTTCGTATCACAGGATCCATGATGTTGCCTTGTTTTGAATACAGCATAGCTTTTAGGAGACAGCAAGACAGAGGCAGATATAAAAACCAGCCTCTTTATCTTCCTTTCTTCTGCTTTATAACCTGAACAACCAGCAATACGGAACAGTCAGAAGGGGTTAATAGCCCAGAATTCTTCAGCTTGAAGAAGGAATAATGACTGGAGGTATACGACTGGGAACAAAAAAACTCAAATATGATGTGGAAAACGTAAATAGGAAATGACTGATTTTCCCAGAGCTCTCCTTCACTCTTACAAGAGGGAGCCCAGTGCAATTACAGGTAACAGAATTTAAAATAAGCAAAGGAAGTACATTTTAAAACAGCACAGAATTAAACAGTGGAACTTGCTGCCTCACAAGACTGGGAACTGTTCACTCAATGTTTTTCTACTGAGCATTAGCCTTTGCATGTGAGGCAGCTAAAATTCACAGCAATGCATGAGGGACCACTGGCAGGTCTCTCTGGTGTCTACAAGAATTCATCTCTCCTTTCAAATCCTGCACCAGTTCCCCTGTTCCTTACTGCACCATTAGTTTGTGACACCGCATTTGTTCTTCAGTGTGTACTTGCAGCAGGAGCAGCTTTACTTGGAGCCTAATTCCTCAGTTACCCAGCAGTGCCCCAGACACCACTGTGCTTCAGGATTAGCTGGGCTTAAAGAGTCATGTCCCTGACTGACAATCCCAGAGTGGCAGACTGGCCAGACCCTGGCTCCCCCCTGGGGCAAGAAGGCTTCCACCCCCACCGCTAAAGCACTCGCCTTCCTACAGAAGGATTTCCTTGCATCTGCTTGGATGGTAGCATGGGTCTGTTCCCATTTCTTCCATACCTTTGGTATGTATTTTCCAGAGCTCACTCTATACCTGTTTTTCCCCTTCCTGCTTCTCTTCTAACTAATTTCCCTTCACCTCCCTGCTTTCTCCCAGCCTCTATATGCTTACCAATCCCCACATAAATAATTTGTATTCTTTTCAAAAGTAGTTTGAGTCCCCTCTGGATAATGTGCTACACTCAGATTGCATTTCCAAAAATACTAAGCAAATACCATGGCCAGACATGCCATGGCAGCAGATCTTGCTCACATTTTGACCCTGGGTAGAGTTCCAGCTTCTGATGCTGGAGATGGCTTCAGTTCAGTTGTCATACGTATCCCCTTGAGCTGTTTGGGTCACATGAACCCAGGTTGGTGAGAAACCTCCTTAGCCAGACTTTCTGCTGCTCACTGCTTGGCACATCACGTATGTCTTTCAGGAGAGCTCAGCTCTTTCTTTAATGCTGTTTTCCCTGTGGCTTCCTGTGAGTGACAGGGAGGGAGCTGTGAGCTGGATATGGATGAGGGAGATCAGTGAAGGGGCAGCTGGAGCTGTGGGCACCCTCCCACGCAGCCCACGGAATGCTGGTCTGGGGGCAGTCTGTGTGCTGAGAACAGCAGTTCATATCCTGATGGAGCCCTGCAGTGCCACACACTGAGTGGTCTGAGTCCATCCAAGGATGCGTGAGGGCTTTAGCATAGTTAGGAAAGTCAGCCCTTAAACAGGACTCCCTAAACTTAATTGCATATGGAAGTGACACAAATTCAAGGAGCAGCCCACAGAAATGTATACTGCTCTGGTGTAAGTCCAGATCTGTCTTAATTATTAAGGAGTGGTATTTTTAGTCGTCATTTGCAATAGATTCCACACGTCTGACCCCCTGTTTCCGTGAAAGTTCATCACAATGTCAAGTATTTAATTAATTATAGCCTTTATCTTAAAGGCGTTACTGCTTTTAATAGAAATGTTTGTAAAAACCTGTTTGATTCCCTTCCTGCCCCCTCCCCACTGTGAAGGCTAAACAAGCACACCAGTTTTAGCCATGCTTTCTAACATTATAGAGTGCCAAATTTGCCTGGAATATAAATATAAATCCAGAGAAGGGGAGACGTAGGAAAAGTTGGTTTACAAGAATATGGAAATTCTTTCAAAGAAACATATATATTTCTTAAGCTAAATTCATCAAATTATCTGCTATTCTGCCAATAAGAAACGTATACTTTTTAAAACAAGTAAATTGTACCACTTGCAATCTTTCTTACAAAAAAAAAAATAAAATCCTTGAACAGTTGGCAGATCTTAGTACCATTTGCCTAAATTCATAGACTAATTTACATTTAAGAGCACATTACCATGACAACTTTTACATCTTGCTAAATTCTCTTCTTACTACTTAAATATTTTTTTTTTCTGTACTTTCTTCCAGAAAAGTGCTCTGTAGTCTGGAACCTCCTCCACGTGCAAAGACCCTCATCCTGCATCTTTAACTCTTAATGCACTTTGAATACTACTGCCCCAATGTCGAGTAGGCTTAAAGTATGTTACCTCCAAAATAGTGTTTATGAAGAAAGATTAAACACATCATATATAGAAAGCCAATAATTTATTGTTAGTACCATTGAAATCATAAGTCTAATCTAAGAATCATTATTAGTCCATATCTAATTATTACAGAAAAAGAAAAAATGCTTCTCTACAGAAAGAGTTGCAATAATAATAAAAATAACAATACAGTTAAAATTGTTATACTCACACTTCCTAGCTTCTTCTCCCTTTCCAGGTGTTATGCTCACCCCACCACTGCTTCTTGTGATCTTCAGGTTGGTGGCTTCAGCCTGGTGGCAGGGGTACGAAGGCTGGTCACCACATCATGGGATGTTTTGCTGTGATGCTGATGGCTGCACCCTTCTCACTCTGGGATCCACTTGGGGTCTTTTTTATGTTTGCCAGCAGCCTTTCACACCTTGCTGTTTCATCACTGGTTTGCAAGTCCACATGATATCCAAATTTACAGTACATTATATATCTTGCATATGCTAGAAACTTGTTCTTTGTTCCATTATTCATAAAAATGTGGTTTTGTCCAACTCTAGGTCTGTATTTCTCTTTAATGGAAAAAGATTTGATTTATTTACAGCTGCGGGGTCTCCAGCGGCAAGACTGCGTCTCATCATTTGTCATCTTGTGCCTGCACTCCTCCCCACCGCATCCTGCATTTCCCTCTCAAGGCCTCTGCTATTATCACAGGCCTGTATTTCTCCACGCTACACCATTATGTTGGTTGTAACTTGTTCTACACAGAACAACTACTTGTTACTCCTGTCTGTACACAACCATGGTGTAACATACAAGAATAAGCAAAAATAAAAACAAATCTATAATCACCTGGTCAGTAGAAAAAATGCTGTTACAGCTAAGTTAAAAAAAACAACCTTGCACGCAGGTCAGCTAATATGCAGCTGAAGCAAGCCCAGCATGACTCAGTGTGAGGCCTTGCAAACTCAGTTCAAAGCATGTGGCCTGTTACTAGCAGTGGCAACGTCTGATGCAGCAGGCAACTGTCGCATCAGCAGAATGCAGTCAGCCACGCAGTAAGTAATGCTGCTGTGTTACATTCCAGCTGCAGTTACAGCCGTGCCTGCCTGGCTGATAAAAATAAGGCTGTACAGGTGCAGATCTGCAACATCTGGGATCTTAATTACTGCTCAACAATAAAAGAACCCAGCCTGCCGTTACAGTCTCACTCCAAGTTGGCTGGGCAGATGCTTGAGTGGAAAAATAGCTTACTGGTGAGATCAGCCTGTTCAATCCAGGGAAGTGAGAAGAGCAGCTCGTTATTAAAATAGAAAGCAAAATGAGGCAATTCCTCTGCCTGTCAAATAACTGGGTAAATCTTTCCAAAGTCTTTGCTCCATGTGCTTTGTTAGATTTACATTGCCTCTGTCCTATGAGAGCAAAAAATTCTTGGCAGGAGAAATGCTGCTTTCACAAGTACCAAGCTTTTAACAATTAATACTTTGTTTTTATAAAAAGGTTGTTGAAACAGCCCAGGTTTCAGACAGATTTTAAATAATTGTTTGCCTATTTTTCAGGACCACCACCAGGTTTTCACGGGAAGCACAAAGAGGCTAAGTATTCCTCAGTAGCGCCAGGAAGAGGGAAGAGAAGCAGGAATCTCTCGGGCCAGGAGGGCTGGAGGCCTAGCCTGGCAGTTGGGAGACAGCAGCTTGTAGCTTGGCCGGGGGCCTCGCAAGCGTCCTTTGAAGTTCCCCACCCTGGAGCACTCCGGAAAGTTCATCCAAGTTAACGAGAGCCAGGCCCCACCCGTTAAAACTTCATTAAACCTGCAGAATGGATGCTAAGCCCATGCTTTAGTTTAATTCACAAATGGGATTGAGTAAAGCGTTTCCCGGCTCTCCCTGACCCAAATCCCCAACGGCTCGCTGTGCTCACTCACGAGGCCTGAGCTTAAAAACGTCTCTGCCCTCCTCCGGGGCCTCCTCTGCCGGCCTCCTCCGGGGCCGGGCTGTAAAACGAGGATGTCTCCTTGCCGTAGGGACGGGGCCCACACGCCAGACGAAGGGTGTCCGGGCGGCACCCTGCTTTTCCCGGCCGCCACCAGCCACCGTCCCGCTCCCCTCAGAAGGGCCGCCATCTGCCGGGCCCGGCCCTAGGCCGTTGCGCCGCCGCGAGCCGCCTCGCGCCGGGGCCGCGGCCGTTGGCGGCGCGAGGCAGGGGCGGGGCGGGCGCGTGGGGCCCTCCCTCAGCGCTGAGAGGAGCCCGCCCCTTCTCGCGGCGCCTCAGCCCTTCAGAGAGAGGGGAGGGAAGGTGTGGAATGGCTTCGTTCGGTTCGAGTTAGGCGCTCGCTGCCGCTCCCCGCGCTGCGACGGCGAGATGTGCCAAACACCTCAAGGTGCCCGAGCACCTGCTCACCCGCAGGGATGGAGGCTGTGCTCCCAGCGTGGCACTGAGGGACAGAGTGGGGGCCACGCCACCCACAGAGGTTTACAGTCAGCCCTGCACCACAATAGCATGGTGTCGAGTCCCACCAACAGCCCTCAGGGCTGTGGCCACAGTCCTGCAGGCCACCTGGACCTGTTGCATCCCAGCAGCAGTGGGAGCTGGAAGCTTCCAGAAAGTTCCTCGGGCAGGTGAGCAGGTGGGGCCATCCCTGGCCCTCCAGCAGCTGGTGCTGCCCAGTGGTTTCTTCCCCCGGGTTTTGAGGAGAGGTGACAGCTCTGTGCTAGCAAGCAAGGAGAAAGCGAGTTTGTGCCAACAGGCTTGTGCACCCTGCCAGGATGCACGGCCACCTCCTGTGCATCAGCACTGGGTGCCAGGCTCACCCCTTGGCCTCAAAGGTTTAAAGAGCTCAGGTGTTTCACTCCTTTTATTTGCTTTTAGTAACCACCAGAGGGTAAACTGCTGAAATTTTAACTCAGTTAACTATGGAAGCGAGGCATTAAATTCTTTAAAGGTCAGAACTCATGATAAAATTCTGCAGGTACAGCAGATGTTTTCTCTTGTGAGCTATTGATGAAATAGGCACTCCTCTGCTGCTCTCTAGGGCTGTGTTTGAGGCTTCCTGTGGAAGCCTTCCCTCACGGAGAAATAGAGTTTTGTTATGGTTGAAACTGTAGGAAAATAACTGAATTCTGCATTTTCTGATGTGAAGGAAAAAAATGAATTCATGTGTGTATAGTCGACGTATCCAGTTTCACTAATATTTACAGGAATGTATTTATTAAATTTACTCTTCAGTTTGGAAATGTATATTCTCCTTTTTTCTTAGGAGACCAGACAAAGTGAGTAAAACATGATTCTTAATGTTAGCATCCACGTTCTGAGGGTGTGTTGTGTCCCCTCCACCCCAGAGGGAGACTGTGGTGTGCACGCTGCTGTGTCTTGCCTCTCCCTTCAGCCCCGCTTACCAAGTCATTATCTCCCCCGTGGCAGCAGTGTTTGATGCCACAAAATTTACTTCTCTACACAGTCCTCTCATCCCAGTTGCTGTCCTGTATGCTAGCTCATGATCTGCTTTCATTCCCTGCAAAGCCTGAGGCAGAGCAGTGTGTGTGTGCGGCAGTAGCTCATGGTAGGACCAGTATGACTGTGGAAAAGCTAGATGGGGAAAGTGAAGCGTAAACAGTACTGATGGTTTGCTGTGTGGTGGAATTTGCGGTAATTTATAGAGGTATAGATGGTGCTGATGTGAAACTGATCAGATTTTGAGTGACAGATGTTGAAGACTCGTGTTTTTGTTGAGATAGAGAAGGACTCCTGGGATCATTTTGGGCATAACTGGCTACTGGTAGCAGACAGTTACAAAAGCTACTTGGTGTCGCACGTTACTTGGGAGCTTACCAACAAGTGGATCCATTCAGTTGCAGTTACTTCAATATTGAACACTGTTGTTCCCGTAGATGTGAATTCTGTGTAAAAGGACATTAGCATCAAACTGCAAACAAAACATGAAATTGACTTTGGCCCCTAGGCATGCACCAACACTGAGGAAGAGACACGCTTCACCTAGATGAAAAGAAAACAATACAATGAAGGTTGAAATGTTACTATTTGGGCCTTTAAAACAGATTCTTTATCGCGTATGTGCAAATTAAATTATGTAGTACTCACAAAGCCCCCCAACCTATTAGTAAGTCGCTGTGACTCGTGACCAACATGCTTATACCATTAAAGATCTTTGCATAAAACAGAAAATGGCCTAATTTAACACTGCAGGAACTAAGCAGGTGATGGCTGGAGCTTAAGCAATTAATAATTAAGAAGCAGGAGATAGAATACACTACCTGAGAAGATAACATAATGTGTAATGTAGGAAAGACTCAGGTGCACACACAGTGAAGATGTGACTTGGATGCTTTATTCCTGGGCAGCATTTTGTCAAAATACCACTGTGTTGCAGGTTTAAAACTCCAATGGAATACAGATTAATTAATAGAATGGGATCACTCTTGCAACTCCACTACTTAATCAGTTTTGGAAGCTAAGGAGGTTTTTGACTTTATAAGGAGTTTCACTGCTAAAAGTGCTTTCTAATTTCTATGGTTAGACAACAACTTAGATAGAATACATACCTTGTTCTGTGTGTTTTTCCTCATCCTGACAATTACACAGGGAATGAAAAGGGCTGTAAGTGGTTCCTTGCTAAGATCCAGGCATGCAGTTTCTATTTTAAAACTTGAGCGCATGTTTTTATGCTACAATGCTGCTGACTTTGCTCTAGCTATACATAGTTCTTGTCCTCTGTCCAAGCCATTTTTAACTTCACTGTTCTGTTTTAAAGAAAACTGAATTGGAGAAGAAACATGCTTCTAATTCAGTCTTTTTTTTAACCTCAGTAGAGATGAAAATTGAAGTTGCTCTTGAGGAAAGAGTAATAGATGGACCAGAACTATTTAATATCAGAGTCATAATTCATACTGCTCACATCCCATTACAGAAGTACAAATTGTACTGTACTTGAAATGTCAATGCTTTTTTTTTGTTCCCATTTAAAACCGGGATTCGATCTCTGAATTTTCTATAAAGAATTTGGTGTCTTCATTGACTTCACAGTACAAAATCTTCAAGTAAAACCTGGCTTCTCTAAGGACTATGAGGTAAATGTTGGCTTGATAGCAATAATTTAAAGCAGAGGTTTTCTTTCTGAAAAAAGTGATTCTTTCTGAATCACTTATTTTCTTATCCCGTATGTTTCTAGGTAATAAACTGCTTATTAATAACTTTTTGTATGTACTTACAAGTATAGGAAGGCTTGTGAGTAGACTGACTGCATTTGAGAAATTTGGTTGCAGCTGAGCCAAGTCCCCAGTGATTATATTTAATTGTTATGATCATGGGTCCATCCTAGTTGCTGTGAACATTAGATAGACCCTGCCTAGTGGCAGAACCTCAGTAGCTGAGTGAGTTCAATAGGAGTTTCTCTCCTACCAAAATGATGAAGGTAAAAAAAGGAGGAGGTCATCCTCTTTTGGATCCTCATGCATCCAATTGTTCATCATTGCTCCCTGGCTATACTTTCTTACCTTCACAGCTTATTATCCATGGACAGCCAACTGAGCGGTCCCTGTACAACTCTAGTTCTGCTTCAGAAAAAAAGTATGTTAGATTCACTGTGACCTCAACAAGGTCAACAGCAGTTTTTGTCAATTCTGGTTGTCGTAGCTAAGATGCTGGAGCTGCGTTCTTCTCCCCATTTTTAACTGATGTAATTATGCTATCAAAATATTGTTGTGTAAACCAGTGTGTTTGCAACATTAGCACTAATGCGTCTGGTCTGACACTTCATTCTAATTACAATTTGCACATTGGAATTCCTTAAGTTGAAAAGAATTGTAGGGTAAGTAGAACTGCTCCTGTCCTTGGAGCTAAAGGACATGGTTTTGCCTTCCACCCTGCTCCAGAGCTGTCCAGAGTGTGATGGTGGTGGAGAGGTAGGTAGTTGGCAGAAGAATTGACACTATGTGGACCCCCGTGATAGAGACAGTACAGTTTCTTAGCTGCTTTCTTACCTGGCTACAAAGATCCCCCCGAAAACTAAAAAGGCCTCTAGAGTAGATTATATTAATGACTGTGTTCTGAGATCTGTACTTCAGCATTTCCTGAAAATTTGATGCAGTACAATACAGGAAGTGAAAACTTCATCAGGCTAACAGCAATCATCAAAGAGATTCCTTGGGAGTGGTAAGGAAGGGAAGAGGTAAAGACTTGCCCAGACAAGTTTTACAATTTGTTTTGTGACATGTAGTGCACAGCAGAAAGAGAAACCAGACGTTTTTCTGTGATAACCATAGATTCTGAAATGAGAAACAGCAGGCAAGAAAATTCAGCCAATAAAAGATAGGAATATCTAGGCACTGTAAAAAGCTTTTAAGCCTTTCAGTGCTATGTCTTCATAACAGAACAGTTACTGTGCATAGGTGTTGTTTAGGAGAAAAGTAACTCAAAGAATTTTTCACTTTGATAATCCAGGCTGATGTTCTGCAACAGAGAATGCTGGAGCAGGGAGCATCGACTTTGATTCCTTTCTGCTTAGCTCAAAAATCTGCAAAAGTTTTATGTTGTTAAATGACTCTCACAACTGTGAGCATGTATTAGTATATAGCAGAATTGTTTCTCCTTTCCTAAACCCCTTGAAGTTTGTAGTACATAATTTTTCTAAATCCTCGGTGTAGATCTCTCTAAAAACTTAGTTGGGGAGCAATAGTGATTTTTACTTGCTTTGGTACATGACCATCAGCTACACCTCTAAATGCAGTTATTCTGCTGAAAACAACTGCCTCACTCCTTCCACTCTGTCCTCCAGCCCCCAACACAAAAATGTGATTTCCAGCTTTCATGACTAAAGTAAATGACAATGTCCTTCTTCAGAGAGAAGTTGCTGAGAACTATCTGCAAACACACGTTTCCTTTAGCATAAATGCCCTCTGGTTTACAATTCACAGAGCAGTGATAGCCACCTGCGTGTGTGTCCTCCAGGGTTGGGCAGCTCCTTGCTAGCTCACTTTGCTTCTTACCTTCCCCATACAGATCTGCTCCTGGAGAATTGAGGCAGATGTTCCCTAATGAGATCTATCAGAACAAGAATGGTGATGGTGAACATGCATTTTTTTTTTTGTCTCTCGCTCTCTTACCTTTCACCTCTTCTCTCTGAATTGCCAGCTCCAGAGCATAAAAACAAGT